AAAAATCTACAGGAAGAATTGTCAAAACCGTCTAAAATCCATTAAAAATTGGAAAAATTCCCAAAACCGATTGATACCATAAACATTTTGTTAATTAAATCGATTTAAAAAATGGAAAGAAAAAACCTAATAACGGAAAAACCATTTTGTCCAAAATCAGATATTGGCACAGAGTTTTGGAATATTCAGTGAGAATAGAAGGGTCCAAGTCCCACCGACGCACAATGGGGTGGGCCCGATTTTCGGGTGGAACGGGGGGAAGTAAGAAGAGTACGAGGGGAACAGGAGGAGAAAGGGGGGGGGGGCTTAAGGATGTAAATGAAAAAAAAATGAATAAAAGGTGGAGGAAAAAAAGAATAAAAGGAAGACAAGGAGCCCGACGAGGTGGGCAGGAAAGGAGTCCCAGCGGCACGATCTGTGGGGACTTGGGTTGACTCTCGGGCTCACACAGGCAAGTCGGTGGGCCAGAAGCGGTGGCTTCTTGGGGGGGCTAGGGGGCCCAGAGGAGGGCCGGAGCCGGAGCCGGAGCCGTGGACACCGCTGTTGCGGTGATGGCGAGGAGGAGGACGATGATGAGGGTGAGGTGAGGCAGAGGTGAGGGACGTGGTAACTGGCGACAGACTGGCGGGCGCACACCTGCACTCAGTTGTGAACTGCGACCATACCAAATGAGAGAGATGGAGAGTTGGAAGTTGAGATCAGGGGCGCACCTAGCAGAAATTATACGTCGGGGTGATTGCAAGAGGCCAGTGATATTCAGTCATTACGATTTTTCATGGATTTTACGAGAATTCATTTGGGGACCTTGGGGTCCGTCTTTTGGGACTCTGGAAAAATTCTGAAAACGGTGGGACCACTTTTTTGGGGGGGCGGGCTTGCGCAATGAGGCGAGGTGAGAGGTTGAGGTGTTTGCTCTTTATGGAAATTTACTGGGAGATTTTTTGAAGGAGGGGATATCCTGATTTCGTCGGTTTCAGCGTTTTCATCGTTTTTGGGGTCTCGTTTCTGGTGAGGTACCAGCGTAATTGTGGGGGGTCGATGATTGGGGGTCAGGGATTTTCAGGGAGTCAAGGGTGTCTTTGCACTTTGAGATTTCTCTTGCTGCGTCGATCTTATTTGGTCTTTGTTATTGGGAGCATTTGGAATTTTGGTGATTTTATCGGGGAAGCCGTTGGGGACGATGTGGAAATCTCAGGTAAATCAGGAAATCAGGAATCCCAGGAAAATCGAGAAAATATCACTGAGAGGAAATGAATTCTTCTGGTCCTTGTGCTCAGTATTTATTCCCTGAAGAATTCCACAAAATACTGAAAAGTTCAAACATTCACAATTTAATCGATTCAAATCCAAGGATTCAATAAAATAAAATGTCAGATCATATGTCTTACTCAAAATCTAATAATGATTACTAATTAATTCAATACCCACACACCGGGGGTGCTGATCACATTATCCTCAATTCAATTACTCAGGATGTACCTTGAGATTAGGAGAGTGATTCAATGATAGTTACAAGAACTCGTGGTGACGTCTGAAGTTATGATGTAACGAGTTCAGAATGTCAATGAGTCGATGATGGTATTGGATACCTGTTATTCCAGAATAGAGAATTTTCGTCAGCGAAAAATTGTGGTGAAAAATATAACGATACCATCTTTACCGTGAGATTATCTGATAAGATGAGACTCGCTCGTTGATTATTGTGATGCGCAATGGCCCGTTATCACGATGTACTCGTCAAGGGACGAAAATAAGTGCGAGTACTTGTGCACCGATTATGCCCCTGGGTGTCTCTCTCAGTACGCATTATTACCACCGCCTTTGGTTTTTTCGCCTTTAACGATATATTACTGTCTCCAGCATTGAACACGTGTGCAGTTATCGCCACTGACTATTTTTTCACCTCCCACCTCCCACCTCCCACCTCCACATTTAACCGACCAAGTGCGTCCCAATGCGATAACGCCGTTTTATGGATTTTTTTTTTCAGTCAATGATTCGGGGAAAATGAGAACTCATTGCGACAAAAAATTATGGATTTTAAAATCATGTATTACTCATGCTTGATCACCTTATTTAATTACAGCAATTGATGTACATAGTCGGGCGCTTTAACGGGGAATTATCTGTTTGATTTTCATTTTTATCTTTTGGATTTCTATTTAAATGGTCTTAGCCGTCGATTTATGCGTTACACGCGCCATTTTATCATTCTTGGATGAGCGGATGAGTCGCGATTTTTTTGACGGAATATTTATTAACATTTTTTTGCATTTACGACGGATTGAAATCGGTAGAGAATTTGATTTGCAAAAACTGTGCAGATTGAGACTGAAGATTCAATTGTAAGGATATTTCAAACGGTTTTGATAATTTTCTTGAAATACAGCCGTAAACGAAAA